TTATAAATTTAAATAATTTACAAGAATTTCATAAATAAATTAAAATTAATTTAGGAATAAATTAAATTTTGCACAAATTGCCATATTTTTAATTTTCATAAGTATTACAAACTTATATGGATTAAAGCATATGAGTAGTTAATCCTTATTTAAAAAATATATTTAAAACACAATAGAAAAGTTATTTTGGCCAAAAAAGAAACTATATGGCTTATTTAATGGCCATCAACCTTTATTTTGGATTTTAATCCTTTGATTAATAAAGGTTAAGGATTGTAGTTTGGGCTCTTTAGGATTCAAGGGTGAAGATATAACTACCACCCTTAGATCTTAAGACAAGAGTAAAAGAATTCTTATAAGCTCATTTGATAGAGACCTCTTTTTTTTTATTAATAGACAAGGTCATACCAATTTTTTCCCAAGTTTTGTGAGTAGCTTTAGTCTTTCTTGATTTATTTTTAAAATTTTTAAAATTAATTAGTAAAAATCCTAAAATTTAGAAGTTTGACAAGAAAAATACCTCTATTTTAGTAAAGCATGGTATACTGCATTTATAGTTTAATAGTTCTATTTGGAAGGCTCTTCTTTACTATTCAAAATTAAAAAAAAAAAAACAAAAACAAAAAAAAAAACAACAACAACAACAACAACAACAAGAATAGTTCAGCTATATAGTTGATAAAGTCTAGTTTCTATAAAGCTGATATTTAATCATAGTAGAGTCAAGATATGGTAGGTTATTAATTCTTATGGCAAAAGGTCTATTACTTCAAAATTCAAGTGGCCAAGTGAAGGCATAACTTTTGAGAACAAGATGGAGGGCTAATATGTTGGAAAAAAGGCTCCATTTAATATTAAGACTTTAATAAGCTTAAATCTACTAAAAGATAATCAAGAACCAAGATGTGGTGCTCAATATTATAGAAGAGAGTCTCTTATCTTATCAAGTTAGGGCATCAACTTTGAGAGGCAATTTTGGGAACTTTTAATTGAATTTTATTGCAAAAATTAGATAGAAGATGCATCTTCAAGTCTTCTTTTCATTAAAATAAAAGTAAAGATTATATAAAATCTTAAATCTTGGACTATAATTTTAATACTTGAATCATATATAATCTAAAAATAGAATATAATAAATTATATTTATAAAGACATAAATATAGATGATCTTTTGTGGGTTATCTAAAAGATTTTTAAATATGTTCTACAAGTAGCAATTACTACTAGATACAAGATTTCTCTTTAGATTTTATTTTTTCATTGTTATAAAAAATTTAATGATATTTTAATAAATATATATATACAATAAATAAAATATATTTAATTTTATTTAAAATATTTTTTTAATAATATATAATTATAAATTCTATTCTTACTATTTTAATTTTTAATTTTTTAAATAAAGATAAGTAAAACTATTCACACATTACATCTATTTTTATATTATTTTTTATTTAATATAATATATTCTATTTAATTTATCTTTATCATTGATAATCCTTTACTGCAATAAAAATATAATTAATAATATAACCAAAAAAATCTTCTAATTAGAAAACAAATATCATTAATAAAAATCTAAAAATTACTTTTTATAAATATAATATATATAATATTTATTTTTTTGATATTTATCAAAATTAAAGAAAATTATTATTAAACTATTTAAATATTATTTTTAAATAATCTTACAAATTATTTTCCAGTTATATGATAAAATTTTGAAAACAAATCTTAAACCTTTTTGATTTAAAGATTATATAAAATTATATAAATTCTTAACAAACTTAAATATAATTATTTATTTTCTAATTCAATGATTAGTTTGCCATACAAATAGAAGTTTCTTAAACCTCTAGATACATGTTTGTATTTAGAAAATAGTCATTAAATCTAAGTTCTTTATTAGAGTAAATAATTCTCAAAGCAATGATAAGTTTACATTCTACTTATTAAAAATCAACCAATATGTTTTAATAGAAGTTTTTGCATATATAGCCAAAGTGGTGTCTTTGATAAAAGACAAAGAAGATAACAAGGTTTTAAAATTTTCTATAGATTAGTAGAAAAAATATAACTTAATCTTTAAGTATTTAAATAAAAGTAAGAATATAATTAATAACCTATACTATAAAACTTTGCAAAAAATTTATTGTCTCAAACCGAATTAAGTGGGACTTAGCAAACACCAAAATTTTGAATCTATATCATAATTTTGATCAATCAAATATTTATTTTAAAACTTGGTTAAAAAATTAAAGTTTTTTTTTATTATGGCTTAGTTGGTATTTAAGAATCACAAATAATACTTGAATAATATGAATTCAATCTAATTCTTTTTAATTTAAAAAGATCTTTAAAGAAAATAACTAATTTTTTCTAAAGAATGGTCTTGAAAATTTAGTATAATTTGATCTCTATTTAAAAACATTTCTTATAAACCACACAATCATAATGGAATGCAAAAGCCTATAATGGGTGTAAATGGTGTGATAGTAAAATATGACATTTACTGTGGACAAGTTTTTTAGACCATAGAAAAATAATGTGAAAACACATTCATATAAAACCTTAGAGAAGTTTATTATACAATGAGATGGCCAATAGTATATCAGAGTACAGAAATGGACTTATAATCAGATAGAATACTCATCATAGTGTGATATTCCACAATTCTTTGGAAGGCTTAGTGATCTAGACAGCAAATTTGTACATTATAATTGCTCTTTGTCTGTTCTGATTGAAGGGTGTTCAGACATCAAACGATTTTTTCCTCCCTTTTTCAATCTATGTGATGGGTCCTCGCAATTTGTGTAAAAAGAAAAGAGCAGTCATGGTTTCGCTCAGTCAGAGATAGAGGGAGATCAATCTAATCTCACCATCCTCATCGATCAGCACCAGCGGAGGATGCAACGCCAACCCTGCTGCATATGGGGCCTTTCAAATGGACAGTGCAACGTCGCACAATGCAAGATTGGGTCAGGACGCTGCACAGCAGCAGATCCTTGTCATCGACATATCAGCTTCTCACGACCATGACGCAATCAGCTCCAAGGATTCGAGAGCAGCTCGCCCATCTTCACCTTCAAGCTATGCATCAGCTCGTAGCAACAGTGTTGATAGAGAGTGCGTAGCTCTAGTACAGTGGAGGCAGGATGGGTGGGGGCCTCACTTTTTCGATAACATCGTTGATAGGGAAAAAATCGATATTTGATCTTGTTAGCTCAGAATGCACATGAGACATGTCGGAGAACAAACAAAAAGACAGGTTGAGTAGCCGCACCGACAGATCAAGCTCGATTTTACTCACATGGCATTTCATCCATTTCACACACACACACTCACATAGATAGATGTATATATATATATATATATATATGCTGGTTGCACGTTTAAGTGAAGTAGTAACATAAAATTGCTCGAGTGAATGATTATATCAGGTGTGGGTGGAAAACAATACAAAAAAATACCTTGCAGGAGTTGATGTGTCATCTGTTTCGAAGAGACTGACATCACCATATTCCATGCATATGTTTCTTTTGCAATCTTATTTGATTGTAATCGAATTTAGTGTGGCTCATCACCGAAGCTGGAACCTCCTGAACGATTTTGAACCTCCAAAAACTAGGATTTCATTGACTTTGCTTTAAGGAACTAGCAATTTTTACACGAGTAAATAACGCAGTACCCTAGAGTTTCTGTCAACGCGTCTGGATTACCTGAGTGAATCGCAGCTTCCACCCACGTCCCAGTACATTTCGCACATCAAAACAAGGATACGGAAACCCCATGTTTCTGGCTGATGATGAAATCTGAAAGCAAAGAGCACTGAGCGGAGTTTTTCTTATCAATGCACGAATATTTGAAATGTACACCAGTCCGGCAAGAGGTACATCCTCTCCGTGATCGGGTTATAGCCGTAAATGTATGCTGATGTTCATACAACGGTCACACTACAAGAACGTTCGTATTAATGAGGACATTCCCTCGTAGAAGCACTCTTAGTACTTGACCACATGTGATGATATTCCACCCACTGCACAAGGACATAGCCTGGCCAGCCATGGACAACACAGCATGAAAAGTCGCTGTGTACTTGGCCACAGGAGACAAGAGCTTCCAGGGAAAGTAGTACTTCTTCGAAGCTTTCCATTAAAACAATTTCACTGAAAAATTTGGTTTCGTAGTTGACTTGTAAGAGGAACACTATTCAAGGATGTTATCTGCTTGTCGTGATTGGATGTATCTAGACTTAATTATTTAATATGCTCGAAATTCTTAATCATCGGTGTCTTATTTTCTGAAGTGTTGGTCCCTGGCAGACTTCTGATCGATCGACATATTTAAAACAAAAATGTATTTCCCAAAGCCAGGTGTGATTTTTAGCAAAACCATGAAATCATGCATGATGAGAACGCCCCCCACTCAGTAAAAAAGACATCTGTTTATCGTGGATAGGACATGGACTCTCACATTCTGGAGAAAGACAGACGTCACATCAGCTTTTTAAGCACAAAGGAAATTGACTTCTCACGTAAGAGAAACCAGTGGCTGCGATGCTATGGTGGCGTACTCTCATGTCATACCCAAATGTGTGCTCCGTGCGTCAACGACATCAAACGAATTAGTGGCAACCCAGGCTTCACGTGTGGACCTCCCGTTCACTTCATTTCACTTCAGTAGTGAATTCTCACTTTGCTCATTTGTCCACAATTCTGGGTTTGTGAGAAACCAGGCACAAAAGTGTGACCAGGCCTGCAAATTCTATTCGTAAGTTTCTCATGCTATTTTTTGCTTTTTGGTTCTGTACCCACTCCGCAAGTCCACCGAGTCATCTACAGGAAGACTTGTGGATTCAAGCATTCGCAAAAGTGTCGAAAGAAACGACCAACATAAACGTTCAGGAGCAAATATTTGACCCCAAAGTACATTCAAAGAAGAAATCCAAAAAGGAGCCAACTACAAACCATGAAGAGTCAATCGAGTCGTACAAAGAGCAGTTGTAAGGACAGTAGAAGCACGAGAAAGCTTCAATTCATGTCGGACATACGCCTCCAAAATTTTACAACCTCATGATGCATCATGCACCAAAAGTCGAGTCACCAACTAAGACCGCGGAAAGGATCGAAAATTCATGGAAGTTTCCACCACTACGTGAATGCACATTGGCTGTTCCACGTCTGTCTTCACTGAGTCAGGGGAAATATGAAAGAAAAATGAAAAAAGAAAAGGGGGAGAGATTCTATGGTAAGATTAAACTCACAGCGCTCTGAAATACTAATTCTCTCAAATATACACTCCTTCATCTCGGGTGGCGCAAATCAGTAGCCACGGCGGCTGCACAGGGGAGGGCCTCGGCTCTGACTCTGGTCTCAGACACTTCCGAGGAGGAGGTCTTACGAAAACCTGGTCGCACAAGGGGGCATCCATGTCGCTAATCTCACAGACGGGATCCCACGGAGAATCCGATTGACGACGTTTCAACCCCGTAGATGCTACTGCGGCTGGTTCACGTCTGATCGTGGCTGGCTCTGAGATTGCAACTTGGCTGTGCAGAGGGACCCCGAACAGCTTCACAAGTTTGTTGCTGGAGTTCAACGATTCAGCAGAAGCTGTTAATTTGGGGCCGGTTGGAAACTTCGGATTGCCAGGATTAATGAACACCGCATTTGGTGCTCTCTCTGGGAATGTGGGGGGAGAGATGGTTTTGCAGAAATTGTGGTTTGTGGTTCTGACATGAACAGAGAGCTCAGGTATTTCAAAATCTCCTCTCGAGATTGGATTTAAGCTTCGGTGCTGACTTGCGGCGTCGCCTGACAGTGCTGTGACTGATCCTGCGGTCTCTAAAGACTGGCCGCTGGCTCCGACCCTGCAACAAGTCACCAAAAAATTGATCGGCATAAACTTCTTTTAAAGCTGTTTTAATTGACTACACTGTACTCTTTATCCACGCTATACACTGCTTGCAATGCAATCCTGGGTCTCAGAGATCGTTAACTCCGAAGTAATTTAGAAGTAACCAGCACGGCAGTATTCAGATGATAATTAAATTCACTGTAGAACGTACCCGAAACTCTTAATCAGACTATACTCCACACCAGCTAAACTGGAACACAGAATCAGAACATGATTAACACTATGTCCATGCCACTGTCCCCAAGAATCGATTGAGGGCAGAGAACCCCGGTTACAGTTTGGAATAATGGAAGAAGTACTGATCATCTCAATTAAGTTGAAAATCGCTAGAGGATCGAGCTTCTTGTTTCACCCAGGAGAGAGGCTGATAATTATGAAAAACGTAATCTAGCAGCAAATCAATGACGATCACTCTATATAAGCTAACTGGGGTGTTGAAAGCAAAAAGACTTCCTTGAAAGAACCGTGAGCGATACATCGATAGTGTTATACCTGCTGGTGAGGGCACTAAAATCGGTCGGTGTCGCCTTGTACTGCTGGTGGATGATACTAACGGTTTCTTCGTACAAGCGGCGAAGACGAGACACCTCGCAAAGCAAAAGGTTGTTGTCCTTCCGAAGCCTCTCATTCTCGTCGGAAATACTCATGACCGGCAAAGTCGGATGCTGGGTCGGAACAGAGATGGGTAACGGTGATGACATAGGAGAAGATATCGGCGACCATGCTTGATCTTCGATGGAGGTTGATGGCGACAGTGAGCGGCTCTGCTGCGCCGACCCTGTTCCCGAAGCAGGCTGCAATGCCTTCCGCCTGTGTATCTCGCAAAGAAGATGACGTTCTCCTCGCCGAAAATAATCGTTTGCAAACTCCCACCGTTCCGGAACTACCTTCCTGAAGCCCTGTCAACACAACTCACCCCTTACGGATTTAGCACAAAAGAGTTATCAGGTTGATTCCCTGTCGAGAGTTCAGAGTTCTCAGTCCCAGCAATTTACACCGAAACACTAGAAATCCCCACTTGACCTGCAGTGACTTGCTCCACATCAAGAAATATTTCATTAAGAACATATATTAAATGCTCATGCCTCCCAATGCAATATCACCAAAGCGAAAGCAATGTCTACGCATCAAACTTTCATTTTAGTCTGTAACTCGCCGAGTTCTGCTTTGAAGCCACTTGGACACATTATTTTTCCTACAGGGCTCAACTTTCTGCATCATCCTCCTTTATCTGATCGGTTGTCTCATTTACATGCTGGTAAGTTAACAGAGAGGCGTTCCATCACAATAGTCAAGGTTGTGTAGAAATGCGGAGCTTACATAGGTGTTTAGTTGCCGCACGAAGCTGGAAAAATTGTTGTGCTTGAAGTAGTTCGGCAAGAGATCTCTCGCAAACTCAGGAGGACGCCAAACGACGAAGGTTGTGCCGTCCTCACCCCACGATACAATATCGTTTGTTGCAGGATCATTCACCAGATGATACGTCTTGGTAAGGAAAGGAGCTGGCACCGACCGATGACAGTCATAGAACAGCATACACCCAGTCTCTGAGTTATCAAAAGCCAGCGACATGCCGTGTTCAAATATTTATCCAAATTCTCTGCGCCGGATTCGCCAAGTCGCTGTTTGCAACAGTAAAATCTCCTACCCTCAGACAAGGTACCCAATTGGGCGAAGGTCGCGACAGTGTAAGTACAGTGCGTTATAAAAAACTAATTCAGAATAGTCCAGTTGGAAACTTGCGGCTGCGCCGAGATAGAAACGGAAAATGACAGATTTTACGAATGAGCGGCAGTGGCACTTACAGATATCTACATAGCGCCCATTTGACCTAATCAGCTTTGTCTAGCAACTGTAAGTTACAATCGTCTTCTCATGGAGTAGTCTCGATTCCGACACAAGATGCCTCCTTTCCTTCCAATACTAGTGGCAATACTTTCTCTGCAAGTCGAAAAGGTGCCAGCACCGTCCGACCATGATTACTCATGCGCTACGTACGCCCACCTATCAGGTCACCCCTGACGCTCAAAATTCGACTTCCGCAATAATAGGAATCACCTCTCGAAACGCACTCATGATTAACACCGAATCTTCATTTAGGGAATTCAGTTCAGAAAATGAAATCGTTCGACGCTCGCGAAGGACTCGAGCTCAGTATACAGGAATGTGCACCACGACACTGAAACAGCTTAGTATGATTGACCTAGCGACATCACCAGCAGCGCTCAACGTTGCAAGAAACCTCAACCATTTTAAAAACTACCTTCACTCAACACTCAGCGACAAATTCCCACTCCGCAGCAACCATCAGCATCGTCCTTCGTAAATTTTTACGACCTCTGATACACACTGTACCAAGCTCTAGGGTCGCCAAATATCGCGAGGAACTGCTAGAGAGAACACCAGAGGCAGCTTAGTGAGACAGTAAGCAAGATCACAGAGACACGATGTATTGGAGACCGAGAACGTAGCTCATGTAGAACCACCACATCAGCACTCTAGCCTTGCCAAGCTCCCGGCACCACCAGAGAAACTCCCGAACCTCTGCAAGGATTTACTTAACTCCCCCCCCCCCTCCCACCCCACCACTACGACACCAAACTCGTCATCATACCACCACAAATACGCCAACGCGGCCAGACTACACAGAGGAACGCACAACCCCACGGCATCACCAACCCCCCGCCCCCCGAAGACCTGCAACCCGGAATCTAGATCTTCTTGGCCCTCTATGGAAGCCGGAAAGAACGCGCAAGGCGGGAGCCAGCATATAGCGCTCCTCCGCTAGTACCAGCACTCGCAGCAGCAGTGCACTGCTTTCACTACTGCAATTTCACACAGACGGGATCCCGTACGCGTATTCAATGAGGCATGAGCGAGCACCGTACTGGCGATCGATTGCCCAGTGGTAGTAGCGGCAGAAACTGGGTGAAGTGATCCAAGCGATGAGGGCCATCGATAAACAACATCACGAGAGGTGGTTCCCTGTGACGACGACGATGCACGGGCTTCGGCGTTCGGTGCGGTGACGGGGTCTAGTAGCATCGCGGTGTGGATCCCTGCCCTCTCCATGTAATTCTGCCATCGATGTCAGATTGCGTTTTTTTATTTGCTTTTGCACGCTATTTGAGGAGAAAGTGTGTGCATGTGTAGGAATCTCTCACTCCCGTGAAAATGCCTTTTTTCTTGCAGTTGCGTGTGCGCCCTGTCAAGGATAATATGTTTTTCTTCTCTTTCAACAACGGTACTATCTATAGCCATGACGCCATACAGTCCATCGTTGCTTCCTTCGTGTTCATATTCCAGTGATGTTCATACCTTTTGTGAAGAAATTCAACAAAAACAACAATGATGAATGAATGACAGGCATTGGTTCTCAGGTCAAACTTTCCACCACCAAGTTTGATGAAAGAAAAAAAATCCTTCAACAATTTTTTTTCTGCTTATTCTCTTTCAGACTGTCAAAAACTTCAACAATTTCGAAAGATTTGGTTGCATATGGTTATTGTGTCAAACAGAAAAACTTGTAGACGATACCTGTTGCCTCTTAATATTCTGGACATTCCCTTTGTATCCTTAAGTATTTGATACTTCACTAATAATCGTAGTTTTACAGGACATATTATATTCCTTCGAACTTTTTCTACGATTACATAAGTTACGTTAATTACGTGTGTTGTTTGATGCCACGTAAAAATGATTGTCATAAATTCAATAGATTTATTTTAAGTTGATAAGATTACAATTTCATTCTTTTTTTTAAACTTACTATGTGATGTAGGATCGAGAGAGGTCAGACCAATGAAGTATAGTGCCACATTTAATCTCTCAAGTCCTGTTTCTTAAGGTCAATAGAATAGCCTTTCAAAATCACTAAAAATAAAACAACTGCAATGCATGACCAAGAATCTTATCTAGTGCTGAAGATTATGTAAGGTAGTGTAGCAATCAAAAATACACGCCCAGATCACATTGATACTGGATCAGACAGTCGTGAGATAGGAAAATCAAGACAAATCAAAATGCTCATAAAGTAAAACTAAACTTCAGATACATTAAAGTGGGAGAAGTTTTCCAGAGGAACTTGACTTTTTTATCTGCACCAAACTAAGAGGAATGGTTTATTTCTTCCATTTTTGCAATTAACGAAAATAGTAAACAATAACATAAAAATACTAAGAAATCCCATACCTCTTGGAACTAACAACAAGTAAGTACCTCTCAAGGTCACTTAGGAATATATATATATATATATATATATATATATATTTCTCTCGTATCTCATTCGAATTTATATTTAAAAAATAAAAATAATATAAAAGTGCACCCTGGTCTCTCAACAGCAGTGGAGAAGGAGAACCCAATTTTAAAGCCTGGCATCCAAATAGACCTTGTTTAGAAGGAATCTAAACTAGCTTTAAGAGGTCCAATTAAGCAAGCAATGAGTAGTAGCAGCAGGAACAACCCTAAATGTTGGCAGGTTTTAAGTGGTATATGCTGCAGCTCCAAATAGCCTTCAGATTTGAAACTGCTGCTGTCGAATGTGTGTGAATGCATCACTATCAGTCAGATTCTTTTGCCTCACAATATCTTCCCTACTACAAGTAAACCAGGAGCATAATGCAAGCATATATGCATATGTGTGTATATATATATATAGAAATATTTATGTATATTATAAGGTGATATATGTTTTGTTGTTCTTCGACAAACACTGTAGTTTATTGCTGATTGTGGAACACCCTAAACCCTAATCTGGGTAATGAAAGGCAGATGGGTTTCATTACACTAGACCAAGGGACATAAACCAAGGAAAATGGCCATTTGTGGCTCTTTTTGTCAGTAATGCCCCAATGTCAACTATTGCTTTTCCACATCTTTCCTCACACTCTCTTTCTCTTTCTCATAACTTTTTATCCTTTTTTCTCATTTCATGTATGTCTAGATTTATGCTCATGTGCCCATGTGATGGCTTCGCTCATCTTTTAGTTGTTATTAATATTGTTATACAACAGGTACAAATGGGTACGGTTTCTTTGAATATTATTATGTATCGTTTCATGTTGTTATCAATTAATTTGATAAATTTTAGAAGTTCCACCATATTACACTTGTTGTTCATGGCCTCAACTCCATTCAAAATCTGGCATTGGATTTTTATTTGTGGGGTCTGTAATGACCTTAAACTATTGCAAAATAATAGGTTGGTGTAAAGTAGTTGGCAGTTCACATCTAACCCATAAAACCACTCATCTTGCAAGAAAGTAATAACTATATTTTTTTCCCCTTTTTCTTTTTCAAACAAGTAGAGTTTTACCAGTTGCATATATTGATATGAAGATAAAAAAATAAAAAATAAAAATAAAAACTCTTTGGTATTCCAATAAAATGAAACCAATGCATGGAAAGAGGTTAGATTTACATAAAAGTGGGTCAATTCTGGCAGGCTTCTATGTTTCTTCTTTGGCAACAAAAAACCCCACTGAACTTTCAAGACAAAATATAAAATAAAAAAGTCAATGTTCTATCAAACCAGCACATAACAACTCATCAACCAATGTTTATAATAATAAAAAATAGTGTGAGGAAAATTGGGATTATTAGTTGTGAAGGAATCCAATGGATGGTACAAGACAAATTGGCTTGAGCTTTGTGGCATAAGACCCATCTATAGATATTTTAGTGCCCTTGTGTCTCTCTTTAATATGTCTTTGAAAAAGTTTAATTTTTATTTTTTTCTCAATCCCCCCCCCACAAACACAACAATTAGTATTAGTGTTTTTAAGCACTAGTCAATGACTTTGTTAAATATATTCAAAACCGAAACCATTAATTTAAAGCACATCTAATTAGTTTGAGTTTACTAGCAAATCTCCTTTCTTGAAAGATTTGTAGTATTTAAAAAACTCAAGTAGAGAATCATTAGGTTTCAATTTTAAAATATCTTCTGTGGTGGCTCAGATCTCAAACCTTCTGGAGGCATCTTGTGCTTTTTCCCCTCCTCTCTTGATTATTCTTCTTCCTTTTTGTATTGTGTTTTTTTCAAGGATTCTGGGTGTTCCAAATATTCTAGAAAACTCATACCACAAAAAGCCATCAAAAGTGGAACAATTCATCCCTTTGTTTTGGTCAGTGGGTGGGTCAGGTTCAAAGTGTGCTAACATGGACAATAAACCACAATTGGGGGGGGGGGGGATAAATTAAAAACTAGGTTTAAAGTACATTGCTATCTCAATGAAAAATGGGAATCATGGGTAATTTTTTTCCTTAAACAATCCATTTCCATCACCAAGGCCCTACATTGAACTCGATCTCATCCTTCTGCTCTCATCTAATAACTACATTTGACATTTTCATGGCAGGCAGGAAAAGAGGGAAAACAAATAAATGAATAAATAAATGAAAATTGATAACTGCATGGAGATGAGAAAGTAACTTGAACAGCTTATTTTTATATTTGTGTAGCTCCTGATCACTATTATTCTGAAATTCTTATGGTCTTTGTGGGTTTGTACTATGGCTCATTACATTGACCCAATTGAGGGCAGTTGTAGTGGTTTGTTTTCCATGTAAATAGTAAAAGCACACATCAATACCAACATTAATGTGTATTAATGTGTATAATAATATAGGCAGATGTGCAGAGGGATGGATGGATAGATAGATACAACAAAAAGCATTTGCATTTAGAATAGTTTGTTGGATGCTATGTAAAGTGATCAGAACTTTTTCTTGTTGTGGAAAAATACTATTTGCATTTGTATAGTGAGTGAGTGGAAATTAGGGTTTTTCAATGTACATTAGCTGAAAAATCACCCTCAATTTAAACCATGTTTTCTATGATAAATGTGACTTGTTTCTTGATTTTTTTAATTTTAATTTTTTTCATATCCGAGCTTTTCATAGATGTATTCTTTCGTCAAAAATAGTTACGGGAAAAATTAGCATTACAAATGTCTTGCTCAATGCAGAAATTTAATGTCTGTCCAGAGAAAATCATGAAAAAGGTTGTATTGAAACAAAATATAACCCTTCAATATTAATTTCCAATTTATCATCAAGAAAAAAAATAATAATAAATGACACATAATGTATTTGTTTTCAAATTTTAAGAAACAATTAACACAAAGATTATTTATTTATTTATTTATTTTAATAATTGCGGCATGATGTTTCTTTATCATATCTGCAAGGAGTATCTAAATTTTTTTGCAAATAACTAATTAGATTAACCAAAAACACTTTATTCCATCTGTGTGAGTTTGTGAAATCTGCACTAAGCCTTGAATTTAAACATGCCATCCAATCTTCATTACAGTCTCAAGTTTAATTCAATGTTCCAATATTACAATAGATATTTTAAAATGTAAAATGCATCAAATTCTGATTGTTATTCCAATACTCAATTCATCCTTTTCATTGCAATATACAAATTTGTAATACATATATAATTCGATTGTTTGATACCCCTTAATTAATATTCTTTGTTCACTTGATAATATTTGTTGGAACAAAGATCATTAGTAGATCACAAACTTGTAATCTCAACTACTATTCCTTGCATATTTCATAAAATTTCTATGCACCAAGGTTATAAATTAAGTAAATATTTGTATATATATATATAAATATATATTTGCAGACATATATGAACTGAAATTCAACTGTTCATCCGCTTAATAAGATTTTTTCCGTTCGTCCACCAAAGTGATGCTTTTCGATGCGTCGATGCTACAGCACTGTCTCCGTTGCTCGCACTTTCGCTTGTCACGAGGGAAAAGAGAAAAGGAGGATTATCTCAACCCTAAAACCTGAATCTAACTAAGAAGGAGCAACTAAACACGGCGGTTGGCCATGTCAACAAGCGATAAACTCAACAAATAATCTCGTGTCTCTCATCAGGGAAGGAAACACAAGTCTCTCCATGCAGCTGGAGAGGGAAAGAAGAAGCAGAAGAAGAAGCAAAAATCGAATAGTGAAGTTGAGAAATGACGAAAAAAACCACATGGGGTTTAGCTGGTGAAGGGCATTGCTCAGCCGTGAATTT